CATCACGTATCTACGTAACGCCCGCAGAAATATCCGGGGGCCCGACCGCGGCGTCGTAAATCTGGCCGAGTGAGATATATTTTATTGCGCGGACGTAACGAATGGATGCATTACGTATCGCCACTGAATGCCGTCCCTGCTACAAAAATATTAATGCAACTTCATCAATCATGCTGCATAAACAGTAGGTTAAAAGGAGGATAGATACACCGCTCGCAGCGGTGACCAATGCGCGCGACAACTTTTGACGAACAAAACCGCGAATGATTTTAAACGAAAGTAACGCAACGTTGTTTTGTTGTCGAGCGTACTAGTCACTAGCTTAGGAAATGGACTGTCCGGGAAGATAAATATTTAAAATAATTCATAAATTTTGCCATTGAGTATCTTGACGACTTCCACTTAAAGACAACGAGCAAAACATTTTTTTTTCCGTTAATCGATATCTCTCAACATTTCAATAAAGTAATCAATTTTGCATTAATAAAAATATTTGTTCTCAAAGTCAAGGTTAAATGTTTCAAGATATTATATGAGCCATGCGTTTTCTTAATAATAAATTCAGATATAAAGGTCACGTGCGTGAATCGTTAAACTTCAACGCGCGGCTTAGACACATTAAACGTGTGTCAAAGGAACGATCTCAATTTCTCAAAGAGAGCTAATCTCGATATAACCGAGAAGCGATGAGTCAACCGCGGTTTCGCCCGTTTGAGGGCCCTCGGGCATCGCGAGGAACGTCGAGAAGAAAGGGAGGCGAGGGAGAGGACGTGCGTGAGTTTCACCGAGCGCGTATTCCCATGGGGTCACGCGGCAGATTTCTGGATTACGTACGATCCGGGCTTTTGATAGAAACTTATATGGCAAGGAAGCGGATGGCGCATTCGGCATTAAGGAAGTACGTGAGTCTAGAACGCACGGCACTTATGGGTGCGTTTTCATATCTTTCTCTCTTTCGCGGTGCGCGTCTCCTACAGGTTCACGTCCTCATCCGCGATGTCCCTACCTTTTCCCCCACGTTTACGGATTGCCTAACGTACACCCACAACATAACCCAATAATTCTATTCATGCGTAGAATAATTTCGCAAATCTTCGTAGCTTCTTAATCTTACATTTCAATGTACACATTATGATGGCTCAAAGTAACACGATGCCAAAAATTTATAAATCAAAAAGAAAGTTTTTAAATTTATATTTGTAAAAACACATTTGTAGTCTTACTCATTAAAATGAACGAAATGAGCTCCTAAGAACTGGCTATCTATTTTGGAGTCATCCTGCTTAGCCCTCCCCTTACAGACATTTAATACCGTAAGTGATTATTTATCTAGTGATTAATTACTTATTTTGAGTATTAAAAGCACTGTTTTTAATGCTTTTAATACTCAAAATAAGTAATTAATCACTGGCCAAATACTCACTTACAGTATTAAATTTCTGTAAGGGTTAAGAAGGATATTCTAACGGTGCTGAGGGGCATAAACATCCTCGGCCATATAATTGCACGCGCGTTGCGTAACGTATCGTTTGTGCGTCGGGTCATGGCGTTTCTGTGGAATTGTCGTCGAATGTGCGAGCTCCAAACGGGCGCAGTATAACGACGCATCTTTGTACAAGATTCGTGTACGCGCGCGGCAGCGCCTCTCAATGCGTACGATTTAGCCGAGGTGTAAATCACGAAGGAAGATCGCGTAGACATATACTCCTCTCTGTTCCTCTCCGCGCGCATCTTCTTTCTCCTCTTTCTAGCCGTCTCTATCCGCGGTTACGATAGGAGCAGCTCTTAGCGGGGCCATCTCTGGTCGCTAGAGCAGGCATCAGCTGCCTGACAAGGCGTATAATTAATCCCTAATGACGCTGGCATAAATCCATCTCGATAGGCCGTTTGCCCGATCGCCGCGGCTCGCGCGCCGCTGGGTTTACTAGCGAAATCAGCGCCAGCTTTGTCGCTGTCGTCCATTTTCCGCGTTATTTATGCGCCCATCACTGAGCCGCGCTGCCGCAAGTTCGAACCGCGGCACGGCCGGGAGGAAACCTGGGCTCTTGATGAGTCCGCTTGCACCGCTCCTACGGAAGCGCGAAATGACCTTCGCGAAGAGCTCGCTGCCGTTACATTAGGCAATGCCACGGTTTTCCAAGTGTTTTATGATTATTGATAGAAGAGTCTTCTCTCTAAATTAATATTTATTGCAATATTCACAATTGTCAAGAATGTCTTTCACTGTCAGATAACTGACAAAAATTATCTTTTACTTCAAAGAATTCTTTTTAAAAATAAAGTGATAATTTATGGAGGAAAAGAGTTTATCTTAAGATTCAGTTTGTTAATAAACGCGTTCATTATTAATTGTATACGATAAACTTTATTTACGTTTGCGAATTTCAACTGCTGTCGACAACAGCGGTTATTGGCGATCTCGCCTGCTCAAGCGTTTAAATTACCGACCTGGTAAAACGCCGCGAGACAATGGAGCGATAAAGTCATCGGATAAAACGCAACGCCAGCTATAAATCCTGCAGTGATCCAGTTTATAGCATCGATGTACACCATCGCAGGACGCAAGATGCGATTGACGTCATGGAATTATAATTTCGATTTATGTCAATTCGCACGGATTCTCATGAGATAAAATCGAGGTTCGAAAATCCCGTCTGTATCGCGCAATCTTTAACACCGTTATTTAACACTTTATTTCTACTTTTTATTTCGTAAAAAAAATTCGGCACACCTGATTCGCTATGGCCTAAATTGGATATCATATCTTCATAATTAAGAATTACAGATTCCTCTCCAATTATTATTCATTTCAGCGTTTTATTCGAAATACAGTAAATGCAAACTTAAAGTTGCGTAAGTATCAAACAATTAACAGAACGTAAGACCGACCCCACGCTTATACAATTTTAGAAACGATTTTGCAATTGATGAATGCACGGACAATGGAAAGAAGGGAAAAGGGGGCGAGGAAAAGTAAGTGAGAGCGTTTACCGATTCCCGGATAGCGGGTCCTTCCTGGAAAGGATCAGGCCGCACGCTCGTTCTCTCGAGCACGAATATAAGCGCGGAGGGGGGGGGGGGGATTGCAAGCGTGATGCGCTTCCACGGGGCTCTCCGCGTTCGTCCGGAACGGACCGCACCGCGCGGCGCGAGGGCAGGCAAGAAGGGCAAGAGGGAGAGAAGACGACTCGCGCTCGCGCACGCGGCCGGCGTTGTGAAGAGGGAACTCCGCAAAGAGGGAACTGGCGTACCGAATTGATGCACACGAAACGGCATGCCCGGAATGTTATAATCGCGAACCTTTGAACCTAAAGCCGAGACTCCCACACCACCCGGGGATCGCGCGAGCGCCGGGCCCCGTTTCCATCGCTGAAATTACTCGTGTTACTCTCCTCTTTCGTGCCGCACCGGTATCGCTGATACGCTTCCACGAAAGCATGTCCCGGTCGACATGCGGCAGCGTGCGCCGTCTCGGGCTCATATAATAATTCTCATGCGTTTCCCCCGGTTTCGCCACAACACCGTACGCTCCGATACGCTCCGAACGCGGCATAATTCGGGGATTAGCCTCGCTCCTACCACCCTGCCGAGATAAATTCTCTCGCGTTGCCCACGGGTTAGTTAACCGGCTCGTACGCAGGCGGGAATATACGAGACCGTGCAATGAAAGTTAATCGCGACTTATTGTAAGTATCGTGCGATACTTTAACGCGATATGTATACTTTACGAATAAGTCGTCACGATTCTCGCGAAACAAAAGCTCGCACACATGCGCACATGATGCATTTGGATATTCCTCGTCGGGGACGTCGGGGAAAAGAGAACGGAAAGACGGATAGCTTCGAAACGAGTCCGAAAACCACCTCGTGGCATCGCGCGAGTCACCTTATACTCCTACGAATGGCCTACGGGAGAGTCCTCACCGCCTTCGTCAGGGCGTACAGCTCGGTGGGCGTTACGGTAATTAATTTTTGCTCGATAATTAAGATATCCCGAGAGCAGACACTGAGGTACACCCCGCGGTAGCGTCATTTTTCAAACGCCGGTATATCGCGTGTTCTCGCTACGCGTGGCCTAAAAACACCGGTGACCATGTCGAAGCCGCGACGGTGGAAAGGCGCTAGCCCCAAAGCGCCAGAACCACCTTTTGTTTTTACGATTTCTAAATGCGCAGCTGTAGATGATACGTTAAGATATAAATTGGCGCCTATGTTAATTCCACACATTTACATCTTTTCGATCTGAAAAAGAGGCATTTTGATGGGGCCCGGTTATGCACGATAAATCGCACTGCGTCATCCTCTACAGTCTACAACGTTGCACCGCCGACTCTCTCGAATATATCATAAACAAATAGTGTTGTAAATCGGTGTGAGTTCTGCCATTAACAAGCAGCTTTATACGAGGCGCCCACACAAAATTCACGACTAACGTGCGGAAAGCCGTGATTGTGAAAGTTTCATCGCGCGGCATAATATATTTCATCGATTGTATTAAATTTCGCGTAAACGGCGTTCCGTCGTTTACGTTTTGCTCACGTCGTAGCGTGCAGCGAACGGCGGAGACGCGACGAAGAGGAAGAAGAGGAGCGGCATAGCGGAGGAGGAAGAAGGGGCACGTCACGCTGAAACATCTGGCCCATGGTGTTTCGTGGCCTCGTGGGGATTATTAATTGTTTCATCTCGGCCCTTATCCGCGCCTCCCCGTTTGCACGACTAAGCAAATACGGGGGGCGTAACCCACACGGTGATGTACGAGCTTAAAAGCCCTCGCGATCGGCCACGAGAAGCCTCTCTCTCCTACGCCACGGAACTGAGGAAGGGAGAGAGAGAGAGAGAGAGAGAGAAGGAGAGAGAGGCAGATGGGTAGATAGATAGATTAGAGAAAGCGAGAGAAAGGTGGGAGGGAAACGAGGAACGGAGTCGGAGGAAGAAAACCGACGGGGTTATCGTCTGATTTATAATTTGAGGCTCTGGGTGCACCTCCGTGGAATACATACCGACCCGATGTTTTCCGGTTCAGGAAACGTAATTGGTTGCCAGCACGATCATAGATAGCCGCCGGTTCGAATCGGGCCTCGAAAGCGTCCCGAAGAGCCGATCGTAGAATAGCTTCGTCTCTTCCTCACTTGCCCCGGATCGCAGCCTTGTGCCTGGGCCTTGCGCTTCCTTTTCTGCCACTCCTGCTCGCTGTTATCTGCCGGAACATTTTTAATTCCCGTTTGAGATCACGAATATCGACCGGTTACCGAGGGTATAAATCAAGAAACGATCCGGGTAGCTGTTGGAAATCAACGATACCTGCCGCTTTTACCGTGCATCATCTAGATCAGGCACTTTTGCAATTAGTCGTGATTTCACTCACGGAGCATTCGCATGTTCCGAATCAGCTGTACGCTATATGCAATCATGCAATATATTTTAGAAACATATACTACATAGCAGAATAGGTTAGATGTATGTTAATTTCCTTTCTTTTCTATTCCTATTTTGTGTCCTATTCCTATGATGTCGATCGTTGTTGACATCACTGGCACACGGAGAAAAAAATAATGTATCAACGGCATGAGTCTAATTGGGAACAATCTTGTTAGTTTGTTTTAATAAAATAAGTATTTTTTTAATTAAATAAGTATTATTTCACTAATACTGTTATTGAATTAACAAGATTATTTCTAATTAGACTAATGCTGTTGATACAACATTATTTTTTTCTCTGTGTACAATGTTTATATACGAAGAATATCATTTCACAATTTTAGTTTCACGAAAGTAAGAATAAAGACAAGAAAAATAAAACATTGAACAAATCATGGCATCTGTCAGAAATGGATACGAGTAACAAGAATCTTTAATCTTCAATGCTATTAGTTTTTATTTTAATAATAGGAAAGTAACCTTTGAACATCAGCAGATTGAGAGTCGTTTTGATAAACGATACGTAACACGTCGCTGGACGTCCGCTCGGGAAGATTAAAGAGATCGAGTATCTCTGCCAAAGCATCGGATTAAATCGAGTCGATCGGCAACCTGCGAGAGAGAGAGAGAGTGATCGCGCGGAAGGACGGCGCCGAAGATTGTGCGCGTGATCTCGTCAGACTCACTCACGCACGCACGCACGCACGCACGCACTCGCGTGCCGCTCACGCACCTTCTCTCATCCCGCAGCTTCTCGGCGCACATACACGCCGACAATTTGTTATAACCGCGGGCTTGCACGGACGCATTTGTATCTTTCCACGTTGAGGCTCTCAGTGCGTCAGCCCCGACATCTTCATCCGACCTGACTTGACTCGAGACGCGAATACGGCCGGTCCGATCGCGGTCCGCGAGCGCGGGCCCGGATCCAGCCAGCGAGCGAGCGCAAACACACGTGCGCGCGAGCGCTGAATTATGGGGTGCGGGAACACCCACTTCCTGGTCATCGAAAGCCATAAACTCCCACGCGCGTACCGGCGCGGCGCATCTCGCTCGGGCGCCGTGATGGATCCGCCGCGCGGCGCGGCGCCGCGCCGTGAGCCACCAGCATCCCGCATTTTTCTCCCCCATCCGCGTCATCGTCTCTCCCTTTCCCTCGAAAATGCAGCGTTCCGCGGCGCGCGTACACGCGTGCCCTATCATTATTTGCGGGGTGATTCGTTAATCAATCACCTTATCTAATTGGCCGTCACGTTGTAGCGAAACATTTCATTCCGCGGGAGTGAACCATTACGTTCACTTTGTACCGAGAGCGTGTTCTGTCGACCAGATTTGCAAGATCTCAACGATTTGAGGAAGATGTTATTTACAGAGCGTTTACCCGGCGCGATTGCCCTGGCGCCAATTCGCTTTCGCTCAGAAGCGATTCCTCCGGTTGTGGCCCGGTCGGAAATGTTCTCGCCGATGGGGCGCCGAACAGGCGCCGCGAGCACGAAGAAAGAGGAGAAAGGAAGCGAGGAAGAGGGTCCGCGTGGATGCGGACAGTGAATTCTGAGATGGGACAATAAATTGTTATGCATCCAGCATTCGACATGTCGGTCGGATAAAAGAAGGAGTCCCGGAGACAATGCCCGTCGCCGCGCCCGAGAACCCCCTCAGCGCATCCGGTGCGTTTTCAAGGAAGCTTTCGGTGCGCCGTGACACATATCAATTGATTTTCACGGGCGCGAGTCCCGGTTCGAGCCACGTTCGATATATCGCCGCGCACGTTCCTCATTCGAGCGACGAAAAAGCTCGTGTAGTGGGCGCGGATAAAGAATGGCCCGCTTGACCGACACCGCATATAATTCTTCTCCGAATCTCGATATTACACGTGTCGTGACGTGCTTTCAGATTTCGGGGCCTATATCGCCGCGCTAATAAAAATTCGGAGGGAATAATATCGGATTTGATTATCGCTATTACGGAAACATTGCTATCTGACTGATAATTCTTACATGAGGATATTTAGAAATCAAACTAGCGAGCGTTAAATAGAATACTTAATCTGTGTGGGAACATTCTTATCTCACAAACAAATCGATTATCGATTTAAGTATGTTGATTTACTATTCCAACAAAGAGCTGTGTTTTAAAGGCCGACAAGAAATTGGCGCGTAATTTATTGAGTTAGAAAAAGATATAAAATTCACACAATATCATTATTAAGCTACTAAGATCCAGTCCGGACTGTATTGGCATTTTTCTGTCTAATTGATCTCTTATATACTAGTTTGAAAATATGTTTTAACTTTAATTAAAATCATAATATAAATATGTATTCCATGAGAATTATAGGAATTCTCAGAAGAATTTTAACGTCAAATTTCTTACAATAATTGTTGGGCTACAAAAATAGCAAAAATAGCTATTTAAAAAATATTAAATAAGTTTACAACTTATTTTTTAATTATTGTTAGTCCATTCTTAAACTATATGTCACTGATAATGAGAAATACTTTATATATAATGAAGTTTCTAGCTAATTCTATTCTATTCTATTCGGATTTACTGCCATGTCAATCGTATAAACTTTTATGCAATTTTTTTTACGCACAGATCTAATACAAATAGAACGAAATCACTCTAATATGGATGTAAAGAAACTAAAACTGTCGCTCTTTTTTTGGACAGAATTCAATTTCCCTCACTCAATCTTAGGAAACTTGATCACGCTCAAAGACGATATCGTGGTGAATGAGTAAACGCGATCGGCCAATCGTTGCGATTCGAAATTATTTAGACGACGGCTGATCGTCATCGATCGCGCGTCCCCCATAAATTCCATCAAGGAGCTAGAAACGTTCTCTCTCCCCTTGGAAACTACTTTGTTTCACGACTCAACACCCACGTCTCGTATCTATGCGCGCACACGCACCTTCCTTGCGCTCTCGAGTGCTCGCGCGCTCACATTCGAAGCCTCCCCTACGGGAATCGTCTTACACAAAGCACGCGCGCCGTTCAATGTAAAGCGTTAAAGCGCTACGTGATCGAATTCGACAAGCGACCGGACACTGCGCCAGTCCAAGCCACCATTTCGCGCACGCCGGCCGAATATCAAGGAGAGAGATCGTTAGAAACGTTTAGAATTAGTCGCGCTTTTTGCCAAACAATGACTTCGATTTTGCCGATCGATTTGAATCAACCGTCGTCATGCCGAAACCGCATTGTTGCGTTGTTCAAACGCGTTCCATAGGTAATGCCAATGCGATTCTTGGTGTGCGCTCAACTCAAATGCATTTCACCATATTGTTTGCCGTTCACAATATTCGTCTAATATCATAGGTGTTACGATTTATATAACATCCGAGGAGTTATTTTCTACAAGGCTTTAGAAGCAGCTTTGCGTAATCGGTCGTGAAACGCAAGGATCACCTTGATCCACACAAGACATTCTCTCGACGACTGTCTTCTTCCAACTCCGTCACGGCTAGAAGTCGGTTCGTTATCTAGCTACACATAATTGGATCACGTATAACTTACATTGGCTGATCGTGATTTATCGTTTCAAACTCTTTAAGATACATGGAGATTTCAACGTGTTATATATTTACGATTATAAAAATTACGCATGCAAGACAATTAGGATCTATTCAAACGATGTTGATATCGATAATTCCTGCACGCGTAATTGTGCACGTCTGACGTAAAAAGATTTATACTAGTCATGCGAGAAGTTACGAAGACAAAGTTCACTGTCACAATCTCGAGATCGATCTGTGGAATGGGAGATGGAGACCGTTGGCAATGTCTTGAAAAGGAATAAGTTCCTGCAATCTTATTTTTTAGCCATCTTACACCGCGAGGTTTTCACGGGATGAATCGATTTCACGGTGGGTAGATATCACAGGTGTAGGCACAAGCATCCCCGTGCGCGTCGACGCGATCGACAGCCGGGATCTCTACGAATTTATTCGTGACGTTTTTCGATTTCAGCGCGCATGTTTGAATTCTGATCTGAGCGGGAACACGACGCGCAATATGTTCACGTAATATTATCCGGCGCGCGATTCGCTCGCCCACATCAGAAGAGGCTGCCGCGCGAGATCGTGAGAAGTACTCTAGATCGGGCGAGCAGGATCTGCCAGGTACATATCGTCTCTCGACTGGCTGTTAAACTCAGATCGCTAACAAAGTGAGGATCAAATAATAACACGTTATGATCGCACTGCTTCGAAGATAGATAGCGCTCGGTGTGAGTGAATAATTTGATAATGGCAGCGGCGCGGCGGCGGCGGCGGCGGCAGCGGCAACGGCGAAGCGTCTTGTCGTACTCTCTTTTCGCCCTCCGCCTGAAAGATCGAGGACGAAGAGCTCGGCCAAAGAGGGAAGATGATCTCCGATCGTTGCCCGAGATCTAGCACTCGTCGCTCTCCCTTTCTCGCCCCGCTTTTTTCCTCCTCTCCTTCCTGGTTTCTTCGTCCTCTCTTTCTCTCTCGACATACCGCTCCTCTTCCTCTCTTCTCCGTTCTTTCATACTTCTCGGTCCCTCGATTCTGTCTTATTTTCACGCTCCTGTCTCTCCCTCTTTCTCCCCACCGTCCGCCCACGAGATCCCCGACCTCTTCCCTCCCGATCTCGAAAGATCATGCCGCGAGATGCCAGGGCGCTGCTCGTGATATGCCCGGGCGGACGGGTTATATACCACGAGATCGCCTTCGCCGTCTCGTGTAAAGGGATATTCCGGTGCTTCGGATATTTTTGCAGACGGCCTTAATGGTGGATGATTGTGTGCCAAAG